GAGGATTTTACTTAGGGATGATTTTAAGTATAATTTTAATTGGAATACAGCTTCTAATATTTGGTTTTTAATTTGGTTTTATAGGGGTTTTTATCTTTGTATTTTACATTTGTATCTGTTTTAATATGCTGTGCACCGCCCTGAGTCCTGCGGGAGAAGGGCGGTATATAAATTAAATTATTATTATTATTATTATTATCACCTTTACAATTTCAATTGAAAAAAAACCTCAGAACTTTTGGAGGGGAAATAAAAATAAAAACTTACAAGACCGTGGTTGCATAAGTGTGTACACCCTTAAACTAATACTTTGTTGAAACACCTTTTGATTTTATGACAGCGTTCAGTCTTTTGGGGTAGGAGCCTATCAGCATGGCACATCTTGCCTTGGGAATCTTTGCCCCCTCTTCCTTGCAAAAGTGCTCCAAATCTGTCACATTGTGAGGGCATCTCCTGTGCACAGCCCTCTTCAGGTCACCCCACAGATTTTCAATTGGATTCAGGTCTGAGCTCTGGCTGGGCCTTTCCAAAACTTTGATCTTCTGGTAAAGACATTGCTTTGTTGATTGGGAGGAATGTTTTGAGTTGTCATGTTGAAGGGTGAAATTCCTCTTCATCTTCAGCATTGTAAGCAGAGGCCTGAGGGTTTTGTACCAAAATTGACTGATATTTGGAACTGTTGATAATTTACTTCACCTTGATTAAAGCCCCAGTTTCAGCTGACAAAAAGCAGTCCCAAAGCATAATGCTGCTGCCACCACACTTCACTGTGGGTATGGAGTACTTTGGGTGATGCAGTGTTTTTTTTGTGCCGAACAACCTTTTTGGAATTATGGCCAAAAAGTTCAACCTTGGTCTCATCAGACTATAACATATTTTCTCACATGCTTTTGTCAGATTTTATGTAGACTTTTGCAAAATGTAGCCAGGCTTGGATTTTTTTTTTTTAAAGAAAAGGCTTCCATTTTGCCACCCTACCGCCCAGACATGAAGAATACGGGAGATCGTTGTCACATGTAGTGTACAACCAGCACTTGCCAAAAATTCCTGCAGCTTCCTTTAATGTTCCTGTAGGCCTGTTGGCAGGCTCTTGAGCCAGTGTTGTTTTTTCATCAATTTTGGAGGGACATCCAGTTCTTGGTAATGTCACAATTGTGTCATATTTTCTCCACTTGTTGATGACTGTCTTCACTGTGTTCCATGGTGTATCCAATGCCTTGGGATATTTTTTTTGTACTCTTTTCTTGACTAATACCTTTCAACAATGAGATCCTTTTTATGCTAAGCTGTTTCCCGCCATGGATTTGCTGTTAGAGGCAGCTGAGTAAATGTCAGGAAACACCTACTAGAACAGCTGAACTTTATATGGGCTTGATCAGAGTCACTTTAATTGATGGCAGGAGTGTACTGACTACTATTTAACATCAGTTTGAATGTAATTGGTTAATTCTGAACACAGCCACATCACTACTTATAAGAGGGTGTGCACACTTACGCAACCACTTTATTTTTATTTTCCCCCCTAAAAGATTTCAGTTTGTTTTTTAATTGAATTGCACAGCTTATAGTATATTAAATGTAGGAAAAATTCTGAAGTGATTTATCTTGGTCTGATTTTTTAATATCTTAAATACCTGGCATTTTAACAGGCAAGTGTAGACTTTCTATATTCGCTGTAGTCCTTGACTTAATGACCATAATTGAACCCACAATTTTGGTTGTAAGTCATGAGAGTCATAAAACATGTGACCAGACCTGATTTTGCAACCTTTTTTCACACACTCTCCAAATAGTGATTTTTTAAAAAATGGCAGATCTCACAAGAGATTTTGCAAAGTGTGAGTGGAGTTGCAGCCTAGTACATACAGTACAGAGAGCAGGAGGAATGAGTTGGTATGAACTGTTTTGTCTACACCTAAACTTATGCCACTGCATATTAAAAGGGCAGATTGAGATAAGGCTGCTTAAGAACTCTGGAACGAAGCTTTTGAAGCAGTCATTTCTATTATTTGCTTTACTGTGAAAGACTGGGAAAAGACTGAAGAGTTAGAAAGGCGTGGTTGAAAATCAGGGCCACTGAGGGTAAGAAGAGGCAGGTAGTCTAAAATGCCATCATAAAGCTCAGGGTCCTCCATGGCTCTGACATTCCCTAGAAAGGTTTAAGCTCAGTTTTCAGCTACCTTCTTGAGTTGCTTTGTTCCTCAATGAAAATATCTCCATGAGCTCCATGGAGGAAAAACCAAAGGCAAGAGTAGAAGAATTCCCTTTGCTGTTGTATCCAGGTGACAATGGGGGGGGGGGGTGTCTTTCCTTATCTACTCTTCTTTGTTTTGAACAATTGTTTCAGCTGGTGTGTTGTGGATGTTGGTGCTCTGAAGGTGAATCCAGATGAAGACACTGAAGAGGTAATTGTAATGACTTTCCTTCGTTGTCTGTGCATAATCTCCATGCATGGGATTCTGTGCAAATTCTGATGCTGTATATCAGGGGTGTCAAACTGCCGGCCCACGGGCCGGATGCGTCATGCCGAAACTGCGCCCACCCCATTGCCGGCAATGGAAAAAAAGTTGCAATACGTCGTGACACATTGCATGATGTTGTGAGTTTGACACCCCTGCTGTATATTATATTGACATTCCTTCAGTGCAAATAACTTTACCAAAGGAGATGGCAAAACCTGCAACATGAACCACTTTCTTTCCATCCTAAAATGACCATGTCATCAACACATGTTGACTTTTTCCAAGGAAGAATACTTTTTGAAGCAGTCCAGAGCCATTATTTGGGCATGTTGAATGGCTGATAGCAATGGAAGTATCTGCCTACAGGGCATTTTTGGTCGAAAAAATAGAATTATACTTCAGTGTGGCTGCTGTCACTGTTAAGAAACTAAAAGTGGAGAGCCAGCTGATTTTCTGGACATAGGTTTCCCCACCCTAGCACCCACTAATTTTGTGGAACTGCCATTCCCAGCCAATATTAATAATTGTGCCTGGATAATCCTTGAAAGGCATAAGATCAGGCTGTGGAGACTGTCTTGTGAAGGTTTGTTATTTATATAACAATAACAGAGTTGGAAGGGACCTTTGAGGTCTTCTAGTCCAATCCTCTACTTAAGCAGGAGACCCTGTACCATTTCAGACAAATGGCTGTCCAGTCTCTTTTTAAAAGCCTCCAGTGATGAAGCACCCACAACGTATGGAGGCAAGCTGTTCCACTGGTTTATTGTTCTCACTGTCAGTAAATTTCTCCTTAGTTCTAGGTTGCTTCTCTCCTTGATTAGTTTCCATCGTTTCTTCTCTTGCCTTCTGGTGCTTTGGAAAATAGGTTGACCCCTTTGTGGCAGCCCCTCAAATATTGGAACACTGCGATCATGTCACCCCTAGTCCTTCTTTTCACTAGACTAGACATACCCAATCCCTGCAACCGTTCTTCATATGTTTTAGCTTCCAGCCCCCTAGTCATGTTTGTTCCTCTTCTCTGTACTCTTTCCAGAGTCTCATCATCTTTTCTATATTGTGACCAAAACTGGATGCAGTATTCCAAGTGTGGTCTTACCAAGGCATTATAAAGTGGTACTGTCACTTCACGTGATCTTTATTCTATCCCTCTGTTAATGCAGCCTAGGATTGCATTGGCTTTTTTGGTGGCTGCAGCACACTGCTGGCTCATATTTAAGTGATTGTCCACTAGGACTCCAAGATCCCTCTCACAGTTACTGCTGTTGAGCCAAGTTTCACCTAATCTGTACCTATACATTTGGTTTTTCTTGCCGAAGTATTGTGTTAGATAGGGCCCAGTGTTCAAGACTGTCAAGATCCATCTGGATCTTGAGCCTATCTTCTTGGGTGTTGGCTATTCCTGCCAGCTTGGTGCTCTCTGCAAATTTGATGAGTTCCCCTTCTATTCTCTCATCTAGATGGTTTATGAAGATATTGAAGAGTACAGGGCCTAAAACAGAACCTTGGGGGTATCCCACTGCTTACTTCCCTCCACGTAGATATAGTTCCATTAAGGACTACACATTGAGTGCAGTTTGTCAGCCAGTTATGAATCCATCTGGTGGTGATACTGTCTGTCCCACATTTTTCTAGCTTACCAAGAAGTAAGTTGTGGTCTACTTTGTCAAATGCCTTACTGAAATCCAAGTATACTATGTCCACAGCATTTCGCTGGTACACTAATATAGTCACTTTGTCAAAGAATGAAATAAGATTGGTTTGGCATGATCTGTTTTGACAAACCGATATTTGCTTATGGTTATAACTTCACTTGCTTCTAGATGCTCGCAGATCTGCTGCTTGATTATCTTTTCCAGGATCTTCTCAGGTATTGATGTCAGGCTGATTGGTCTGTAGTTTCCTGGGGCTGTTTTTTTTTCTTTTTGAAGTTGGGAACCACATCAGCTCTTTTCCAATCCTCAGGTAATTCCCTGGATTTCCAAGATTTTTGAAAGATAATGGTACAATGGTTCTGAGATAACATTTGCCAGCTCCTTCAGAACTCTGGGATGTAACCCATCAGGTCCTGGTGATTTGAAGTCATCTAGAGTGGACAGGTGTTCTTTTACCAGATTCTTGCCTATTTTAATTTGAATTCCTACTTTGTCTTTTACAGTTCTGTTTTTGGTAGGTTGGGCTATTTTTCTTTTTGTGTGAAGACAGATGAAGGAATAAAGTAGCTCTGCTTTCTGCCTGCTACCCGTCACTTCCTTGCCATCTTGTCCCATTAGCAGACTGATTGTTTCTATGACTTTTTTCTTTTTTTTTAACATTTTGAAAGAAACTTTTTAAAATTATTTTTAACATTTGTTGCAAGTCTTAGTTCATTCTGAGCCTTAGCTTTCCTGACTTCATCTTTGCAGATTAGGGCTATATGCTGGTATTCTGCCTTAGTTATGTGTCCCTCTATCCATTTTTTGCACTTATCCTTTTTGTCTTTCAGTTTACACTGGTCTACAAGGAGAAAGCCTCGGAAATGAAAGTAGCTAAATTTTACCAGAATTGGGTCACTAATAAAGGAAAATTAAGTCCTGAGAATTAATTGGCTCCAGTTTCCAAGATACAGCTTCAGGTCAAAATTGCATCAAAATAATTCAAAATTATGAGGGGGATGTGCGATTATGCTCCATACCTTTTCTGCAAAATGTGATATAGCAATGAGAATGGTGCCACACCAATCATTATAAATTTATCTTTTTATTGATACCAATACCAATACCAATAACATAACATAACTTATTGGTTTTTCATGTAACATTTTCATGCTTTTTGCATGAAAAACTGACAATCTCTAACATCAGATTAAATGGTATCTAAATTGCACTTTTTGGCTTTTCTCTTGTGAACTGCAGTAGGATCATCCCTGGGGAGATTCCAGCAGTAATCGGCAAGGACGGACTCCATTTCCCTTGGTATCTTTTCTCCATGCCTGCAATATCCTGGTGGAATCTCTCTCCATGCTCATCACTCACTGCCCCACAGTTCAAAGGGAAATAGTCTAAATGCGAGTGTAAGAAGTGAATTTTCAGTGACATGTTTGCACCAAGTGCTTTATAGACCTAAGCAGATTTTCTACGTGTTTTTCATAGTCATCTGCCTTGCTGTTCCCAAGAAACTCTGTTGCCACGAACTTGAAGGCTTTCCATGCCTTCTTTTCCTTGCCGCGCAACAGATGATCAAACTTTTCATCTCGGAGAAGTTCTTGAATCTATGGACCAACAGACGCCTTCGTTGATTTTGGCTTCACTAAGTCTTGGAAACCTGGTTTTGTTTTGTCCATAGCCTTTACAAAGTTCTTCATCAGCCCCAGCTTTATATGCAATGGTGGTAACAAAATTTTCTGAGAGTCAACAAGAGCTGGATTTTGAACATTTTTCTTTCCTGGCTCCCAGGACTGTCGTGATGGCCAGTCTTTCTTGACATAATGAGAATCTCTGACTCGACTGTCCCATTCACAGAGGAAACAGCACTACTTCATTTATCTACCCTGCAGGCCAAGCAACAGGGCAGCAACTTTCAAATCACCACAGAGCAGCCACTGATGTTCCTCGTACTTTATACACCTCAGCAGCCGTTTCAAATTCTCATATGTTTCTTTCATGTGGACTGCATGCCTGACAGGAATAGATAGCAAAACATTGCCATTGTGCAATAAAACAGCTTTTAGACTCGTTTTAGAAGAATCTATGAACACTCTCCATTCATCTGGATTGTGGGTAATGTTAAGGTCTGTCATTAAACCATTGATATCATTGCAATAAACCAAATCACCTTCCACTAAGAAATACTGAACCAGATCTTTTTGGCGATCACGGAAAATGGAGATCCTGACATCACTCTGCAAGAGGTTCCACTGTTGTAATCTGGAGCCCAGTAGCTCTGCCTTACGCTTAGGCAAATCCAAATCCCTGACCAGGTTTAGTTCACTCTGTGAAATTAGATGTGGTTCAGGAGGAGCATACGGTGGGCTAAAGTTTGGGTCCTCTGAGATCAACGGCCCTGGATCATCGTCTTTATCATCTTCTGAGTCTAGAGAATAGGATTCTGGTGGATCTGGAATTGGCAAGTCCTCACCATGGGGTACAGGATGCAGTGCGGATGGAATGTTTGGATGTTCCACGGTCCACTTCTTCTTTCTTGAGATCCCTTTTGCAATTGGGGGAACCATGCAAAAATAGCAGTCGCTACTATGATTGGTGGGTTCCCTCCAGACCATTGGGACTGTGAAAGGCATGGACTTTTTCTTCTTGTTTAGCCAATGACGCAAATAAATTGCACATGTAACACAACAACAATGAGGGGCCCAACTCTTGTCCTGATCCCCTATTTTTTTTTTTTTTACCTTTTTTACCACTGCCGTCATACTGCACTTTTGAGATGCAAATGTAACCTTGCCACAAATGTAACAGAAGTTATCTGCATTGTGTACACAGTTTTGAGGTATCTTGGCTTCTGAGGGAAAATATCACACAACTGTTCCTTGGAAATGTTAGGCAATGACACTTTCACAAGCCACCAAATGTAACTGTATGATGCGTAGATCTGACCAAGACAAATGTACCTTGCAATAAAAGAACAATAAATTACAGATAGGTAATAATCTTTAGTCTGAAAGTGAAGATAAATTTATACACATCCATGTGGTACCATTTTCATTGTTCTACTGTAATTTGTCAAATTTATGAGGCATCATGATCATTAAGACACCTCCCTCCCTTGTAGGCAAATATACTCATCTGTGTATAAATCTTTATTGTGTAACATCTTGAAAACTTGAGCCAACCAGCACCTTTATCACCTATTTACCAATTCATCTAATCAAAATTTGTAAGAATTAACACATTTTATCTTGGAGGTCGATAATTTTCCAAAATTTGTAGACCAGTGTTATCAGAGAGTTCTTT